CGGAAAACATGAAATTTTGCAATAATCTTGCGCCACCCTTGCACAAAACGACGATCATTTTTCTAATTTCATAAACAACAGAAGACTGTATTTTTGCTACTTGCATTAGTTTGGGAAATTCGATTGTTTCTTGAGGTCCACCGCAAGGAAGACGAGTTTCAGTTCACGTCTAGGTTCTTCTTGTAAAAAATCAACCGACGCTCGGCGGATTCTAATAAACTTTCAGTTTTTAGCTCAAGAACAACCGGAAAACCTTTAGTTTATAAGCTTCATAATCCCTGATTAACATTGATTTCGGTGGTTTTGGAAAATAATGCGATTTTCCGGTTAGGAGCTTTCATTGACTAACCCGCCAACCATGTGAAACCCTTCGGGAGTACGCTTTAGTGTTTCTCTTCTCACTTTGTGTTCATCAACTTGTGTGGTGTCTAAAGCTTTACTCAAATCATGTGGGCGCCGACTGAACCAAAGAGGTAAGTAATGTTTTGTGTATATATTTATATTTATTGAGGAACTATGTATTCTCTTGCTTTTGTCCTGCAATGGCTGAGCGCTTTAGGCTCGTTGAAAGGCAAGTATCTACGTAGGCTTGGTAGCAGCATCCCAAGCAAATCTGCAGGAAAGTGGTCGATGTTTGATGGTTTTTGTTGCAGGAAGAACGGGAGGAAATGCTGTGGACCGACCAGGTGATGAAGAAACTGAAGGTGGTCTCGACTAGCAAGCCTGAGCACACCATTTGCCATCTCCCGAGATTGTTGCCAGAAGGACCAACATCCAGTCCACCTCGTTGATTTATTGTTGATGTTTTGATTAGTTTGTAGCATTTTTTTGAAAATATACCGTTGTCCTGACCTAGTTTGTCTCGCACCCACCTCGGAAACTGCTTGACTTCGAACTGTTTTAATTCTCCGTTGTGTTGCAGGATGGGTTTGCTCCCCCCGAGGAGCTTGAAGGCCCCGCCGGCGACGAAGATGAATATTGAACAACCACAGTATATTGAAGCTTTTTAAATAGCTTCGTCAACTTTTTGTATTATCACTATTCTACGAGGTTCTGTTTTTTTTTGCGCAATTTTTATTCAATGTTGGAAACTTTTTGAGGAAGCAAATTCAATAAATGTATTTGGGAAGCGTGTGGTTTTTTTGCTTCGGAAGCCCTTTTTGATTATTAATGAAAACCTGGGCATGCCTTGTTGCCAGTTGCAGCAAGCTGCCATTCTGAACTAGCTTCACTGTTGTTTGGTTCCTTCACTCCTGACATCTGCGATGGGAATTAACCTAATTCCAAGAATGTAAATAAAATAATAATTTCTGGCTTTAATTAACGCGAAAAAATCGACAAAAATGAGCACCAGGAACCCGACAACGTTGATGACGATCCCCAGCGACGAAACGTTCGATTTTCTCTTCAAAATTGTGCTGATTGGGGATTGTGGCACTGGCAAAACCTGCGTAGTGCAAAGGTTCAAGAATGGGACCTTTATCGAGAAGCACGGGAACACTATTGGGGTGGACTTTTCCATGAAAACCGTCATGGTGGATGGTAAGAAAGTCAAGGTACGTTGCACGCTTAAATGAGCAGGGCCACCCTTATACAGTTGGTGATTTCCATTGCAGCTCCAAATTTGGGACACTGCAGGCCAGGAGCGGTTCCGGACAATCACTCAGAGCTACTACAGATCGGCCAATGGGGTGATTATAGTTTATGATATCACCAAAAGGTCCTCGTTCCTCTCAGTGGCTAGGCAAGCATTCTATAGCCGGTAGCAAGCCTCTGCTCTAACTGGGTCCTTTTAGGTGGGTGGAGGAGGTTCGCAGGTATTCAGGAAACGCAGTCCTGCTGGCTTTGGTCGGGAATAAGGCCGACTTGGAGAGCTGCAGGGAGGTGGAGTTTGAGGAGGCCGAAGCCCTTAGCCAGTACATGCCTGAGGTTCTCTTTGTGCTCGAGGCCAGTGCTAAAGACAACTCCAATATTGAGGAGGCTTTCATGTGTCTGGCTACTGAACTGAAGGTACGATATTCATCTCATTTGGTTAATGATATGAAGAGTTAGCCTTTTCCAAGTAGTGTTTTTCGAAAGATTCAACAGTCTTCTAACAAAGGGCTTTGTTTATAGAGGCGCCAGGACAATGGAATGTTGGGCACGGACGACGAAGAAACGGTAAAACTGGGCGAAAGCAGGTCAGTATCCAGCTGCAGCAGTTGTGCCAGAAACATGTTTTAAGGCGTCGACTCATATCAGTTTCAAGGTGCCTTATTTGATCTGTAAGTAAGCTTTAATACTGCTGTTTTTATTCGATGTTTCGCGATTTTATACCCTTTCAAGCTATGATTTTACCAACTTGACTTAGCCGTGTGTTTTTGTTTTGTATATAATTAGGAAAAATCACCTGGACATAGACCAGCTGCAATTTATGATGATAATACTCATGTGTATGTAGTAGCAATATTTATGTGTTTGTTTTGTGATTAATAGTGAGTTTTCCGAGCCAAGTGCTTGGGATTGAGGTAAAACGCAAACATTTTCAATGACGATCATATCAAAGTGCGTTCAAGAAATCGTTTTAAAAAAGCACTATTGCCGTCCCTTAAATTAATTTTTTGCTCCGCTCGGCCATCGTTATCGAATTAGTTCTCAGTCGTGACATGGTATATTTGTGGGCCTAATGTTATATGACACATTTTCTGGACTAGCGAATTATTTACAATGCTTATTTAGTTTAAGGAGTAGACAACGTAACATGTACCGCAACAATGCCAAATGAAATAAATACTATAAGCTATTTACACGAGAACAACCCCCATTATACCTGTTTGCCATTTGATTAACCGTTTTTTTTTTGTTAATTAACCCAATGGCAAATCCAACTAACTGACTTAGTGTACTAATCACATCCTGATTTATTTGGTATCACTATCAATGCCTGCTGGGGGCTTCTGCCTCCTACATGCTGCCTACGGCAGGATTGTGGATGGTTTCCTCACCGACCTCATTGTCCATGTCCTGGCTGGAAGGTGAAAAAAGGGGAAAAAATGCTGGTTAAAAGGCCACTAGGGACGCGTACCTGTAGGGGCTGTGCCGCCGCATGAATATCGACTTAGGACAGTCCTTCATATAGGGCCAGCACTCTGCAGGTCCTTCTTTTCCTCCTCGGCCGGCCTTTTCCGCCTCCACGTAATCCTGCATCAAGTGCGCGTACGGCGATTTGCTGGCACTGAAAAGTGTGCAAACGTTTCAAATCAAAGTGTATGGTGAATTTTTGCGTGCTGTTCTACAAACCTGAGAAAGAGCTTCAGCATCTCCCCCAAAAGTCCAAATCCACGCAAAGGATGGGCGTGCACCTCGCATATGGCCCTTAGCAGGCAGGCGCGCCCATCCAGCCCAAAGTTCTCCAACAGCTCCTCAACAGCCAAGTAAAGAAGAGCCCGTTCGCCGCCTTGTAATTGGCCAGCCAGTCCCGGATGGGGCGTGTCTGCCGACCTGCAAAACAGCCAATCAGGTGCCGGCTCTTGCTACCAGAATGCGCCCACCTTTTGCCTTTCCTGCCCTCTAGAATATTGCCAATGTAGTCGGCCAGCACACCGCCAGCCGCTCGCCCCATTGACCTGGCCAGTAAAGGGGGCACATCCCCAAAGGGGTTTTCGTTGTCCGTCAGCCCCAACTTGTCAAAGTCGACTGAAATTCCACAAAAAAATTGAAAATCCCGCCCCAAAACAACGTGCTTGCATACTCACTGGTAAAGGGCAGGCTGATTGTTATGTTGGAGAAGAACCCCTTGGGAGGATGCCTGACGAAGGGCATGGATAGAGAGGGCGAAATCACCATGGTGGTGCCTGGCGGAAGGGCCAGCCGTCCATCTTCGGTAACCCTAAAGGGAGTGAAGCAGTTAAAACTGTGACTGATGGGGAACTGGTCCCGAAATACGTACCATAAGATTCTTTTCTGGCGCGACTTGGGCTGCTGTTGGCTTTGAGGAACCGCCTCACTTCTAGGTACCACTGGCGACACCAAAATGCCCAACAGAACCACCAAGGCGATGGAATGGGGGGCTGAAACTTGAGCTGCGCCCATTCTGGAAATTGTACATGTTTTTTTAGTTGTTGAATTGTCATTTTTTATTTTTATTGCTTGACTTGAACCATATAAATAGTTCATCAAAAAAATGCATCGTTTAATTATCTACCTGCATTTATTATCTATGTACAATCAATGAAGCTAGTTGAATGTGGAAGCTTCATTGGTGCAGGCCGACTGTTCCACAGGGAAAACAAGTTGGTTTCTATAGCAACCTGCCTTTAGAGGGCTCAGAATGACGGGAAATTGGCGCCTTTTTCAGATTTGCCTTGCCTGCACCAATGTGATTTCATTGAAATTTTGCGCCTCATACTGCGCTTAATCACATTTAAGTGCACTTCGCAATGATATTCATCTCATTGAACACACATATAAAATCATATAAAAACGACAAAGATTTGTTGCGTTTGTCCTTTGCGAATAAAAGCGCGGCTGCCGTTTGAAGCGTTCCTTTGAGCGAAAGTGCCGAAAAAAACACAAAAATCGGTCCGAATTCAATAGGAACTCTTGAATATCGTACAAAATACCACAACGATTCGTTTTAATTCGTTGCGTTCGCCCGATGCGAAGAAATGCGCGTTCTTTTGATTAAAATTGCCGAGGAAGACACAAAAAGCATTAGAAATATTACAAAAAGTTTTTTTTTTACAAAGTACAGTTACACAGTACAGTAGTAAGTTTTTGTACAAAGTACCTACGACAAAAATTCGTTTGCATTCGTTGTGTTCGTTTGATGCGAACAAACGCGCTCGCTTTCAAGGCCGTTTTTTGCGTAAAAATGCTGATAGAGAGACGAAAAACTGTTGAAAATGATACAAAAAATTGACGATTTTGACTCTGTAAAACTGGCGACATCCGGACGACACAAATCCCTTTTACTGTAGCTGAACAAAAACCAAAAGCTCGGAGAGTAGAGAAAACTGTATAGAAAACGAATATTTTAAGAACCATCCTGAACATTGCCAAAAGAATGAACAGTGAAGATAAACGAGCATTTATTCGATTTTTTTTTATTGGTTTCGTTCGTCTGATGCGAACAAATGCGCGTTTAGCTTCACTGTCTGAATGTTTTCGCATCTCATTGCGACAGAGTAATGAAAATCATATAAAAACGACAAAGATTTGTTGCGTTTGTCCTTTCCGAATAAAAGCGCGGCTGCCGTTTGAAGCGTTCTTTTGCAACTCAAAAAAAACCACGCAAGTCTGAAACTTCTTGAATTCAAGCCTTTTTTGAGAAAACTGCCAACATTTCCCCATCCATGCTTCACTTTCTAAAAAGGCCATTTATTTCTCTCTAGAATGATGTACAAATGAGCCTTCTTGCCCATTGTGCCTCCGAGAAATGAGCAAAAATGGGACGGAAAACATGGAATTTTGGCATAATCTTGCACCTAAGTGTGTGATATTCAAATTTCGCATTCTGGGTCAAAACTACACGAATTTCCTCACTCACGTTGTTACGACTAAATCGACTTTTCAATTCTCAATCCAACGATGCCAAAACGAATTCTATGGCTCGAATGGTTCTTGAGAAACTTCAAAAAAAGCAGCGTCATGTTCAAGTGGATTTTGCAACTCAAAACAAAACCACGCAAATCTAAAACTTCTTGAATTCAAGCATTTTTTGAGAAAACTGCCAACATTTCCCCATCCATGGTTCACTTTCTAAAAAGGCCAT